CGGCGGTGGTAGTCGCTGCCCGCTCCCTGCCAGTTCATAAAAAGCAGGTGAAATACCTCCTTACAAGTGTTTGGGGTCTTTTTATTTTTGTTTCAAAAGAGAAATGGTAGTGAGTAAATTGACTCACAAATAGCCTTACAACCCCCAGAAAACTTTGGGACAAAGTTACCAGGAAATGCTGGGCTATCCTGCAGTGAAAGTAACGTGAAAACTCAGTCACGCCATCCTGCTTTGCCCTCCTTCCCATATACTCCTCATATAGGTGCTCGGCATCCGTATGACAAACACATGCAGCACTTTTGCAGCTCCTCTCTTAAAATACGTAGCCAATGATGTGCATGCAACTAGCCCGCTGCAAGCTAAAAAATAACCCAGAATCCTTTTTTTTTTTTTTTTTTTTTTTTTAAGTAAGTGAGGGCCGGGGGCAGATAGCACAAGTTCATGCAGAAGCAGCACCTCAGTAAAATCCACTGGGTCTCACCGGCCCCCCTCTGCAGCTCGGCATCCGCACCCCGAGACACCCTCCGTGCGCACGCACAGCTCATCCCCTATACATCTATTTTATTTGCGGTGTTTTTTATGAAAGCCTTGTGCAGCAAATACAAGTCAAATGGCTCTAATTTGTAGTGCTACAAACTGTAACATGCTCAGACGTGTAACTGCCTGACAGACTACACAGAAATCTGGCTTATGCTCCAACCTCTGAAAGAAATGCAAATATCCAGAAACATTCTGCTATTTCTCCAAAATTAAAATACTCAGTAAAACAAACCTACCGCTAGATTTTTCATACAAATACTTCTTTTTAAAAAACAAATCACTACAAATTTATTATTTATTTCAGACCATAAACAACACAGAGGAAAGAAACACATACACGTTTTCCTTTTTATTAAAAAAAAAAAAAACCTTATCGATAAGAAAAGCACGTATATAGCTCTTTTTTTTAAGTTTATTTTCCAATACCTTGTGCCTTAAATCAGCCTACAAGCCAATAGCTTTATCTAGAGAAAACACAATTGGAAAGCCTTTTTATGTTGCTCTGTTTTTCAGACACTTACAGGAGGTTTTTAAAGACAATTCACAGCCATGCTATTCCAAACGGCACAAATACAATTATTTAGAATTTATTCCTTACTGTGGCAATTTTTACTTCAGTATATGTTTCAAAATTTCCTGGGAAAACACAATCAATTGCCATCTAGCTTAGCGCGCCTACACTGCTACCTCTTTCTCTACATTTTCTCCTTACAAACCAACCACAAACATTTTAGAAGTATTTTACATATATATAATAAAGTCTTTAAAAGGACAATATCACGACAGAAACGCCCAAAACCAAACTGAAGGTGTAAATGACCTCCTCCCATGTTCCAGACGTACCTACAAAATCCCTGCTCACTGGTACAGGATTATACTTTCCATTATGAGTTCGGCCTTTTTATATTTTGTACTATTTTAACACCTCAAATTTATAGATTTTTAAAATTGGCATGTTAAAAGGGCTTTATTTAAGGATTTCAATGAAAATAGTGTTATGTTTTGTCATATTACCATAATCCTTCTTTCTAAATCACTTAGAATTTCAGTATAACCTAATTAAGTAATTTTAAGTAAGTCTTAACCCAAATACATAGATCTAATAAAAATGTATTTTGCAAACAGGGAGAATGGACTTCTAAAATGGATTCCTCAGGTATGAACAAAGATGCTGAAACATTTTCTCCCCACAAACTTTGAGATCTGAACTATTTCACAGCACTTACATTTAAAAACCAAAATGCTTCAAAGAACAGAAATTTCACCAAATATCAAGCATAATGTTTCATTCCAATTTTATTTGTTTATTCCTTTTATATTGAAAAGAAATCTTTCATTTTTTCCTTGCCAAAAAGGAGGGAGACTAGAGGAAGAAAAATACTGCAAAATCCTAGCTACCTGTCTTCACATACTGTTTATCTCAAAGCTCTGCTAACAGCAGTTTATATTGTTTTTAGATATTGTATATTATTTTGCCACTGGAAATATTACTATTTGGATTTTTGCCTTTTGAAAGGCCACAGAGCAACATTATAGATTTGAGAGACTTCTAACCATTTTTAATCTCTCTCTTTTTTTAAAATGCCACAAACATCCCATTTGGTAAATGGAATTTACATTTCTCTCTTGTCTAAATTATCAGAGCTGAATCAACAATTCAAAACAGAAAGAACAAGTGAGGTACCGTAATACAACAGCAAGTCCAGCACTTTAACACAGCTCCTCTCTCTGTTGGTGTATAATAAGCTTACACAAAGTAGAAAATATCTCAGAAATATAGCCTCTTTCCTGATCAGAAAATTTTACTTATCGACTAATTTGACCTCAAGGAATTGCATTTTCTCAAAAAGCATCCTATCTATAGTTCTGTGCTATTTACTGACTCTTGCTTAATTAACCAGCGTGCTTTATTAACAGGTATTGTTCCTTCAACTTAATCAAAACAGACTATTTTTAATTGCTACCACATCAAATATATTTGTCAATACAGCAAAGCCACGTACAATTAGAAAAAAAAAATTTTTTTTAGCCCTGTCTTTGACCAACCATGAATTACAACATCCACTTCCAATTTATTTGCTATTCTAATATGAGGTGAACTGAAACACACACCACAGCTCACAAACACATCTATCTTTTTATAACATCCTGTCGTTTGTACCTTTTAATGGGAAAACCCAGTATACCACTGTCAGCACTGCTGCTCTCCTGCAACCAACCCAACTTGGGAAGGTCTTGGCATTAACTTCCTTCCCTCACAACACTTTGCCTCCTCACCTTGCTCAAAATAAAAACAAAAATATCTGGGTTTGTCTGAAATGTCAACAAACTCCAAAACCGAAAAGGCCAAAAGGTCAGGTATTATTTAATCCAAACAGAAAAGTTCTATTCTCTCTCTGTCAAAAGCCACCAGTAACAGCACGTTACCTGCGAAGTGATGCTCGCTTCCCCTGGACGGCCGTCCTTCTGTCCAGAACAGGGGCTGTGCCACGCTCCCTGTAACGTAAGAGAGAACAGATTAAAATTATTATACGCTTAGAACCATTTCTGCACATTCAAATGATCTGGCCCTGACAAGGCTTTGTATTTCTTGGTCTGAAGAGCATTTTAAAAACGCCTATTATGTTCTAATTAGAGCCCTCAAAATTGTTTTTGGTAAGTCAGGTACACATGTCAAAAATTAGCTTCATACCTGCTCAATCGAAGTACCAGATTCTCCAGACCTGGTTTTCAGTTTCAGAGGCCTGTATACTGCTGCATGCTCCATCTCATTAGCAACATTTAATCTGCAAATGGCATGATCTTATATTAAAAAAAAATTTAAAATTACATATATTGAAAGCTAATTTTTTTTTTTAAGCCATTTACATGAGGGACAGAGTCCCGAGATATTCCTTCCCTTGGCAACTTTTCCCTCCACTGTTTTAAAAACTGAATACCTTCTCAGATAAATACGGTGCTTGCTTTACCCATTTTTCTGTGATTTGTGTTATTGTGTACTTATTTGTGATGCTGCAGAATTTAGACAGGCCTGCAGTTTTGAGACTTCTATCTCCTCCCTTCACCTGCGAGGAAGATACCTGCTAAAATCACTGCCTCTACACCATTTTTATGCCCTTTTTCCCTCTACACATTTTCAAACTAACGTGAGAAGAAAAAAAGTTAAGCTAATGAGTACAAATTCATGCTGTACTACATTTTCAAAAATCCCCCTTGTTTCAGTTTGTCATTTAATAAGCATTATCAATGTAAGTCATGGTCAGAAAGCCACAGCACTGTAGGGTGTAGTAT